CATACATACATACATACATACATACATACATACATACATACATAGACTTATCCCCACCTATCTCCCCGCAATGGGGGACTCTGGGTGGTTTACATCAAATTAAAACAATAAATACATGATTAAAATTTATAAGAAGACAAACACATCTACACAGATAGAAAGAAGAGAAAAAAATCCAAGAGGCTGATGGAAGCCACACTAGGCCTCTAGGGGGCTAGCCAACCCCATTGCTGACAACCTCCCTCCCTGCGCCAGGCCAGATGGCAGAGCCAGGTCTTAAAATCCCTCCAAAAGGCTGGGAGTGAGGGGGCCTGTCTCACCTCCGGGGGCAAGATGTTCCAAAGGGCGGGGGCTACAGCAAAGAAGGCCTGCCTTCTGGACCCCACTAGTTGGAGTTCTTTTGCCAAGGGGGTCCAGAGCATGCCCTCTCTGTGAGATTGGGTGGGATGGGTTGAAATCGTGGGGGCGAGGGGTCCCTCAGGTAGCCTGGCCCCATGCCATGTAGGGCTTTAAAGGTGATAACCAACACCTTGAATTGGACCCAGAAGCAAACCGGTACCCAATGCAGCTCGCAGAGCAACGGCATTACATGGGTCCTTCTTGGGGCCCCAAAAATAGCTCATGTGGCTGCATTCTGGACCAGCTGAAGCTTCCAGATTCTCTTCAAGGGTAGTCCCATGTAGTCCCATTGCAGTAGTCTGAGAGATAACAAGGGCATGAGTGACCGTTTGAAGGGCATTCCCTCCTGCAAACTAGTCTTTTCAGCAATATAAGTAACTCCTTTACATTGTGTTGCTGTGACCTCTCTTATATGTATAGTTATGATAATATTTAAAGAAAGGTCCTTAAATTCTGTAATAAGTGGGAATTCAGATGTTGAATTATCATTGTCAGTTTAAAGTGTAAAAACTTCCTGTAGTTCTGAACATTGGCCAGTAATAGAACTATTGTGTACCCAGATTTGATGGTGGGTGTTATCCATGTTACTAGCATGGATTGAAAAGTGCAGGTGATTCTTGCAGTTGCAGTTCTTGTATATTTAGCTAGAGTGTTGAGAACAGTGTTTATTTCATGCTTCCGCTTTCTTTCTTATTTGATTGCAGGAACCCAGTGGTAATCACACTCCTCCTCAGTTGTCTCCCTCACTCAGCCAAAGCACTTACACTACTGGTGGTTCCCTGGATATACCACACATTATCATGCAGGGAGATGCAAGGAGAAGAAGAAATGACAGCTATTTTGATGATATTCCCCGGTCAAAACTGGAAAGACAAATGGCGCAGGTAAAGTTGGGAAAGCAACTTGCTATTCCAGTTCATTAGGACTACATCTTTTAAACGCTTGTTTCTTTAGCATTATATTTCAGAAATTGGTGCCTGATTTTTCAGCTGAACTTGCTTCTTAATTTGTATCTTTTTACTTCTTTTCAGTGTGAGCACATTTTTTTTTCACCAGTGCTTCATAGAGTTTTGTAAACTTAAAGTTATTTGTATGTGAACGGTCCTGGGAAATGTGAATAGAATGAATGTGCAAAATAAAAAAAAAATCTGCTTGCATTTGAATAAGAGAACTTTGTTGTTGTTGTTAATGATGGAGAACTTATTTCTTCTATGACTGAATGATACAGCTAGGCCATCTGATAACTGTTAGCGTGGAAGCAAGTCAGATGTGCAACAACATGTTGCAGCATGGAATGGTCCATTCAGTAAGCCGTATCTTCTTCCACACTATTTTACTCTGTTGCACTTCCCTTTGGTTTTTGCTCTCCCATTGCTCTGTCAACAGTGCTGTCACTGAATACTTCACTGACTTATTTTGCTTTGTTTTCATTCTTCTTTTCTTCCTTGGGATAGTGGTGGTGTGTGGTGGTGGTAGTTATCATGATGATTTGTTCTTATTCAAACACATAATGGAATATAGCATTGTCCTCTTCTGTGAAATAATTTTAAAAACAATCTTAGCAACAAACTGTCATATAAGTCATCTAAAATGACTTAGCCCAAACAGATTTGACAGGCTGTAGAATGAATCTGTGCATACAGGAGTGGGTATCATAGCATACTCTACTCATAAAAGAGGTGTGGATACTTTCAGCTTGTCTGAGTATGCTGTAGTTATCAAGGAAAGGGATATATTTTCTTGGAATAGGAGAGGCTTCACACATGTGAAATAGGTAGTACAGCTGAAATTAATTTGGGACATATAATGGGCATTTCTCATGAAGTTTTCGTGAATTGTTGGAACAAATTGGAACCGAAATGCAGTTCAGAATTCTTCTCTATTGAGATTATATAGATATCTGTGACAGCTTTTGTATTTTTTTTTTAAATCAAAATCTCTTGGTGGAAAATGACTTCTCAATTCGTTTTCCTAATTTAAACTAATTTTTAAATAATTTGGATAAAGAATTTGCGATGGATAGGCCAATGGGAATGCATCCCATCATCCTAAGGGAACTGCTAAGCTTCTTCTAAGACATGCTGTAGGTTTAGTTAAGAATATTGTCCTTCAGTAAATTTGTTCTTTATATTAAATATTTTTTTTAAATACATTGTTAATTCATCAGCTTTGAAAATCTATTCAATACTGGTATATTTCCATTATTTCCACATATACTGTATCTTTCACCACTCCAGCTAATTTACAGCTAATTTTTAAAATGCACCTTAAACTGCTTTGCTAGTGGAAAGGGGTTTTTTTTTTGACAAATATTTTTATAAAATTGGCATACAATTGACTAATTTCTGTTGATATGAGAGCAATTAAGAGAACATATAGAAACTGATATTTTTACAATTAAATTGCAGAATGTTAACTCTTCCCAGATGAACTTTTAGATAATCTGTGATGGGATTTGTTGAAGTCTTTCCAGTGTATGTATTTAATTATTTATATGAAATCAGTTTATTTTCCAGTCTTCAACTAGACATGACTAGCCCACTAATCACCTTAAAGCAAGCATATATATGATCAGTAAGATGTGCCACATTTCATTCTAAAGGGTAGTTGCATTTCTATCAGCAAAACTGCCCTGGGATTATGTATGTTATTCTCTGATGGTGCACAGGATGACAGAAGTCCGATCACGAACCATGTTGAATCCATCAGAAACTTTTAACACCTCAAAACAGATATGAAGAGAGTTGAGTTCAAAAAGTTTGATAGTGACTTGACATCCAATATGTTTGTTCAGATAAACTTTTCTGTCAACCTAACTTTGATTCTACTGCTTTTTATCTCTCAGTTTTCAAAAGAATGGCTTATTGAAAAATATTTTTTTCCTACTAAATTGGTTTTTCTCTTACCCTTGGAAGAATCTTTCCTAAGATATAAGTCAACTTTAAAAACTGCAAAGCACATTATGAAAGAGTTAACACTTACTGTAAAAGAACAAAGGTTAATGCTTTTGAATATCAGAACAGCCAATGCAAAATCTGTGATCACTGAGCAATTTGATCCTTGCATATTGTAATTGAGTTTCTTCTTTCTAACCCTTAATATTCTATTTTTGTAATTAATCATCTTTGACATCTGAGTTTCTTACTATCTGAAGAGATAGTGCTCACAAAATGTATAAAATAAAGAGTTTTTTAAAAGTTGTGTATTGAATATAAAGGGACAGAACTGTAAGCATTTTTTTTTAAAAAAAGGCTTCATAATATTTTGATTTGTTTTGATCAATAACTTAAGTTTGATATTTTTAAAGCTCTGGAAAAAGCTGAACAAACCTGAGTGTTCAAACCAGGCATTAGGAAAATCTGAAAAAAGCATGAATAGGCAGAGTTCTTTTAATATGTGGAAAAACATTTCATATCCTTTTCATATTACTAACTTGCATCAGATGTATTTACTTTACTAAATCCAATGCTAACTGATTGGTAACTGGCCAGATATGAGGAAGCTCTTGATTTAATATATTGAATGCTGGTTGTTTTTTTTATACCAGTGCCATGATCTCAGTTCTCTCTCTCTCTCTTTCTCTCTTTTTTAAAGCATTGTTCAGGTTGTAGGCATCACTCTGAATTCTGTGGATTTGGCACAGTGAACAACTACTGTTAAAATCATCCCACTTAGTCTTGATCCAAGTCTAGGATTTATTTTATGTATTTATAGAATTTATTTTCTTCAGCAAGTGCCAGAGAGAAAACATAATGTAGATTGTTTAGGATTACAGAAAGAAATTACTGAGCTAGATGATGTAATATCAGTTTTTTCATCTGTATTATTTGTAAGTAAAAGTTTGGTGCAGTACTCTTCCTTGAATATCAGTCTTGAAGTTGGTTGAAATTTTGTTTTGCTCAAGACCAAATACAAAGTATGAACTGTGATTTATGTAACTAAGTCTTTCTTGAATTAAAGATTATATTCAAGGTACCTGAAAACATAAATTTTTACCTGGAAACGAGGTGCTCCTAATTTTAAGAACATAATTGACAAAATTCAGCATTTGTTTTTATTTTATTTTATTTTATTTTATTTTATTTTATTTTATTTTATTTTATTTTCCCGGCCACTTTTGGGCTTTGTTATAAATATTTGGAAAGTAGAAGAATTTTTGCTTGCAGAAAGAATTGCTATACTTGATACATTCCCTTGACTATTTATTCTTCAGTTGATTATTTAGATATTAGATACCTCATAGAACCATCCAATTCACTAATCCTGATTTTTAAATTCTTTGTTGTTTTACCTGCCCTTCCGGGTGGTCTTAGCCATTTTATACAAACTCTTCTGGTTCTTTGTTTACAAAATGCAGCAACACACTAACAGATTTTGAAGAAAACTATTATAACATATGCTTTGTCTTTTGCAGCTGAAACAATAGTTTTAGAGTTGCTTCAGATGTGAAGTGCACACTGCTATGCTTACTCTTGCTTTGCTTTTAAGTTCATGAAGCTGAGCAGGTTCCCTAATGAAAGAAATTATGCATAATCTAGGGCCTCATTTTCAGAGGAGATATCTAGGTCAAGACAGAGAGAGACTATGCATAAGTATTTCCAGAGTCTGTTGTTATCAAAATAACAGCTGTGGAATGCTCAAAATGGGCGAAGTATCCACAACATGGGAGGAGGGCAGATTCTGACCTCCCCAGGCTACAATCTCAGTCAAATTTGTATACACTATTCAAACTTTTTGAAACTATTCATCCTGAAGCAAGAGGATGAAAATTATACTTCACTCATCGTTATTCACACCCTGCCCTTCTTTCCAGTTTTCTACTGTGTTTATAAAGCAGGCATTTAAAATGTTTTCACGTATTTTACACATTTTTTTATTTTGGACCTGAGTTCCTTCTGCGCTGTTGCCCTGAATATGCATAGAGAATATGATTAATTTTTGGCACTTGTATGCAAACCTGCCTTGGCTGCTTCTTCAGTATACAGTGGTACCTCTAGTTACGAACTTAATCCGTTCCGTGACTCTGGTTGCAAC